TGTTATTTCTGGAGGAGCCCCGAGGGTGAAGATTCAATCTCCTGGCTCCGCCAAATGGGGTTTGGCCAGGAGACATCATAGACGCCTGTCCCCCCGGGGCCTCCGGCACAAGCTCATTAGTTAGATATTTTACACGTGGTTTTGTGGTAATTCATTGAAGGTGGAGGGGTTACCAGCCCCTCGCACCCGTCCAGAGCCCCAATTTAGCTGCTGTGGTGGCTACAAACGCCATGAGGGAAAGGCCAATCTCAGTTGGCTCTCTCCCCACGACACTGCCCACCACAGTGTTGCCGTCCGGCACCACGAGGAGGAAGGGGGTTGTTTTGCCGGACTCACCAACTCACTCACCCACTCACCAACTCACTCACTCACCTCACCCACTCACCTACTCACTCATTCACCCACTCACTCACCAACCCACTCACTCTTCCACTCACTCACCCACTCACTGACCCACTCACTCACTCGCCCACTCACTCACTCACCCACTCACCCACTCATCCAGTCACTCACTCACCCACTCACCCACCCACCACCCACCCTTTCATCTACCCACTCACTCACCCACTCACTCACCCACCCACTCACCCACTCACTCACTCACCCACTCACCCACTCACTCACTCACCCACTCACCCAGTCACTCACTCACCCACTCACCCACCACCCACCCACTCACCCACCACCCACCCATTCATCCACCCAATCACCCACCCACTCACCCACCCACCCACCCACTCACCCACCCACTCACTCACTCACTCACCCACCCACTCACCCACCCACCCACTCACTCACCCACCCACCCACCCACTCACTCACCCACCCACTCACCCACCCACTCACCCACCCACTCACTCACTCACTCACCCACCCACCCACCCACTCACCCACCCACTCACTCACCCACCCACTCACCCACTCACCCACCCACCCACCCACTCACCCACCCACTCACCCACCCACTCACCCACTCACTCACTCACCCACCCACCCACTCACCCACTCACTCACTCACCCACCCACCCATCCACTCGCAGTTCAGCGCTAACCACCGCGCCACCGCTCCCCACTGCATACCTCTATACAGTTGAACACACCCAGACACACAAGACAAAGGTCCCCCGTGTAGCCTCCAAATACTTGTGGGGGCAAGTGCTGTCAGCGAGCACACACCCAGACACGTATACACAGACACGTACACAAAAACAAAGCTCCCCCGTGTAGCCTGTAACAGACTGTAGGGGCAAGTGCTGCTAGTAGCGAGTAGCAGCACCACCTATGATGTACACACAGACAAAGTTCCCCCAGGTAGCCTCTGGCAGGCTATAGGGGCAAGTGATGTTAGCAGCGAGTAGCAGCAGCACCTATGATGTACACACAGACAAAGCTCCCCCAGGTAGCCTCTGGCAGGGCTGTAGGGGCAAGTGCTGCACCTATGAAGGCTACCGGCACTGTGGCTACACACACAGAGGGGGGGTGGGTGGCCAGTACCACACCCGGCCGCCTGTGTCTCTCCCCCAGTGCTAGCGATGTTCACTACACCACTGCTACACCAGGTACTCATTTGAGGCTGAGTCGACCTAGGGGAGGCCCAGGACCGGTTCAGATAATCGCTTTCATTGGTGTTGGCCGTGAGCGGGAATTGAACCTGGGTCGCCAGGTTCGTAGCGCAGCGTAGCGCTAACCACTACACCCACCACTCAATGACACACACACAGTGACACACACACACAGTGACACACACACAGTGACACACACACACAGTGACACACACACACAGTGACACACTCAGTGACACACACAGTGACACACACACAGTGACACACACACAGTGACACACACACAGTGACACACACACAGTGACACACACACAGTGACACACAGTGACACACACACAGTGACACACACACACAGTGACACACACACACAGTGACACACACATACAGTGACACACACACAGTGACACACACACAGTGATACACACACAGTGATACACACACAGTGACCAACACACACACAGTGATACACACACACATACAATGACACACACAGTGACACACACACACACAGTGACACACACACAGTGACACACACACATACAGAGACAGAGAGACACACACACGGAAACACACAGACACACGGAAATACACACAGACGCATACCTATCTTAACACACCCACGCACACGCACATACCTGTACACATACTGACACACACACACAGACACACACAGAGACACACACCTGTACACACACACACAGACACACACACACACCTGTACACACACAGACACACCTATACACACACACACAGACACACACCTGTCCACAGACACACACACAGATACACACACAGACACACACACACACAGATACACACACAGACACACACACACATACCTGTACACACACAGACACACACACAAACACACACCTGTACACACACACAGACACACACCTGTACACACACAGACACACACAGACACACACTCACCTGTACACACACACCTGTACACACACACACACCTGTACACACACCTACACACACACCTACACACACACCTGTACACACACACATCTGTACACACACCTACACACACCTGTACACACACAGACACACAGCTGTACACGAAACTATACATACCTATACACTGAAACAAAGACAAAGAGTCCCCGTGTAGCCTTATCAGACTGTAGGGGCAAGTGCTGTTAGCTAGCAGCACCTATGAAGGCCGGCACGGCACACGAGGGGGTGGGTGGCCAGCACCACGCCCGGCCGCCTTTGTCTCTCCAGTGCTAGCGATGTTTACACACCGCACCAAGTACTCAGTTCACTCTGAGTCGACCTAGGGGAGGCCCAGGACCGGTTCAGATCATCGTCACTGGTGTTGGCCGTGAGCGGGAATCGAACTCGGGTCGCCGGGTTTAAGTTCACGTCTTTGTCTCTCTTCCGTACTCACTCACCTACTCACTCACTTACTCACTCACCTACTCACCTACTCACTCACCTACTCACTCACCTACTCACCTACTCACTCACCTACTCACTCACCTACTCACTCACCTACACACTCACTCACCTACTCACTCACCTACTCACTCACCTACTCACTCACCTACTCACTCACCTACACACCTACTCACTCACCTACTCACTCACTCACCTACTCACATACCTACTCACTCACCCACACACTCACCTACACACTCACCTACTCACTCACTCACTCACCTACTCACTCACCTACTCACTCACCTACTCACTCACCTACTCACTCACATACTCACTCCCCTACTCACTCACCTACACACTCACCTACTCACTCACCTACTCACCTACTCACTCACCCACTCACTCACCCACCCACACACACACCTGTGCACACACACACACACCTGTACACACACACACACCTGTACACACACACACCCCTGTACACACACACACACCTGTACACACACCCCTGTACACACACACACACACCTGTACACACACACACACACCTGTATACACACACACTTGTACACACACACACTTGTACACACACACACCTGTATACACACACCTGTACACACACCTGTACAAACACACACCTGTACAAACACACACCTGTACACACACCTGTACACACACCTGTATACACACACCTGTACACACACACACCTGTACACACACACACCTGTACACACACACCTGTACACACACACCTGTACACACACACACCCCTGTACACACACACACACCTGTACACACACACCTGTACACACACACACCCCTGTACACACACACACCTGTACACACACACTTGTACACACACACCTGTACACACACACACACCTGTACACACACACACCCGTACACACACACACCCATGTACACACACACCTGTACACACACACATCTGTACACACACACACACCTGTAAAGGTGTACACACACACACCTGTACACACACACACCTACACACACCTGTACACACACACACACACCTGTACTGACCGAGCAGCAGCAGCTTGAGCTCGTTCCTGTTCACGTCTTTGTCTCTCTTGAGCTGTACACACACCTGTACACACTCACTCACCCACTCACTCACCCACTCACCTACACACACCTGTACACACACTCACCTGTACACACACCTGTACACACACTCACCTGTACACACACCTGTACACACGCCTGTACACACACCTACACACTCACTCACCCACTCACTCACCCACTCACTTAACCACTCACCCACCCACTCACCCACTCACTCACTCACTCACCCAAACACACACCTGTACACAGGTGTACACACCTGTACACACACACCTGTACTGACCCAGCAGCAGCAGCTTGAGCTCGTTCCCGTTCACCTCTTTGTCTATACACCTGTACACACACACACCTGTACACACTCCCCCACTCACTCACCCACTCACCCACCCACTCACCCACCAACTCACTCACTCACCCACTCACTCACCCACTCACTCACCCACTCACTCACCCACTCACTTAACCACTCACTCACCCACCCACTCACCCACCCACTCACTCACCCACTCACTCACTCACCCACTCACCCACCCACTCACTTACCTACACACACACACACCTGTACACACACACCTGTACAGGTGTACACACACACACCTGTACACACACACACCTGTACAGGTGTACACACACACACCTGTACAGGTGTACACACACACACACCTGTACACACACACCTGTACACACACCTGTACTGACCCAGCAGTAGCAGCTTGAGCTCGTTCCTGTTCACGTCTTTGTCTCTCTTGTGTACACACACACTCACCTACACACCTGTACACACACACTCACCTACACACACACTCACCTACACACACACCTGTACACACACACACCTGTACACACACACTCACCCACACACACACCTGTACTCACTCACCTACACACACACCTGTACATACACACACCTGTACACACACACACCTGTACACACACACACACACGTGCACTGACCCAGCAGCAGCAGCTTGAGCTCGTTCCTGTTCACGTCTTTGTCTCTCTTGAGCTGCTTCTCGATGGCCGCGTTGATCCTCCTCGCCTCCTCCTCCTCCTCGCTGAGGCAGCACGCCATGATCACCGCCTCCTACTCCTCCACCTTGTCCACCAGCTCGTCCACCACCTAGTCCACCACCTCCACCACCACCTCGTCCACCAGCTCGTCCACCACCTCCACCACCACCTCCTACTCCACCACCTCCTCCACCACCACCTCCTACGACGACTCTACAGCAACGAGGGCTGTGATGGTGGTGGTGGTTGTGGTGATGGTTGTAGTGGTTGTGGTGATGATGGTGGTTGTGGCTGTGGTTGTGGTGATGGTTGTGGTGGTTGTGGTGGCTGTGGTTGTGGTGGCTGTGGTGATGATGGTTGTGGTGCCTGTGGTGGTTGTGGTGATGGTTGTGGTGATGGTTGTGCTGGTTGTGGTAGTTGTGGTGGTGGTGATGGTTGTGGTGATGGTTGTAGTGATGGTGGTTGTTGTAGTGATGGTTGTGGTGATGGTTGTGGTGGTTGTTGTGGTGATGGTGGTTGTAGTGGTTGTTGTGGTGATGGTTGTGGTGATGGTGGTATCATGTCATGTTGAGGCCGGGCGACCTTGCTGCGTGTGAAAGATACGCGGCACTCACAGAGAGGCAAGTCAAAGCGGGAGCCAGTTATTTATTTATTTCTCTACTCGACTTTTTGTTGAAACTTCACAAAACACGAGGAAGTTGCCAGTCTAGAGCGGGTGGGCGTGGCCTAGAAGTGTTACAAGGAAGGCGCACACACAGACCGACACGCCAACAAATATATTTCATAAATAAGATAAAAACATCCTTTTTAAAGCTTTCGTGACTGCAGGGATTCATCTTCTTGGTTCTTTCGGTAAAGTCATCACGTAGAAGGGAAATAATAAAATAATAATTTAAAATAAAACAATAAAATTCTCACGACGTTTCGATCGCAACACAGGCGATCGTAATCGGGTGTGAAACCCACAGCAAGAACAAAAAATTGCCGTGGCTTTCACGCAAAATTTGACAAAATTCTAAATTTTTTGCTGTGGTTTTCACACAAAATTTGAAAAAATTAAACATTTATTGCCGTGGTTTTCACACAATTTGACAAAATTCAAATTTTCTTGCCGTGGTTTTCACACAAAATTAGAAAAAATAAAAATTTCTTGCTGTGGTTTTCACACAAAATTTGAAAAAATTAAACATTTATTGCCGTGGTTTTCACACAATTTGACAAAATTCAAATTTTCTTGCCGTGGTTTTCACACAAAATTAGAAAAAATAAAAATTTCTTGCTGTGGTTTTCACACAAAATTTGACAAAATTAAACATTTATTGCCGTGGTTTTCACACAATTTGACAAAATTCAAATTTTCTTGCCGTGGTTTTCACACAAAATTAGAAAAAATAAAAATTTCTTGCTGTGGTTTTCACACAAAATTTGACAAAATTCAAAATTTCTTGCCGTGGTTTTCACACAAAATTTGACAAAATGAAAATTTTCTTGCTGTGGTTTTCACACAAAATTTTACAAAATTCTAAATTTCTTGCCGTGGGTTTCACACAAAACTAGAAAAAATACAAATTTTCTTGCTGTGGTTTACACACAAAATTTGACAAAATTCAAAATTTCTTGCCGTGGTTTACACACAAAATTTTTAAAAATTCAAATTTTCTTGCCGTGGTTTTCACACAAAATTAGAAAAAATAAAAATTTCTTGCTGTGGTTTTCACACAAAATTTGACAAAATTCAAAATTTCTTGCCGTGGTTTTCACACAAAATTTGACAAAATGAAAATTTTCTTGCTGTGGTTTTCACACAAAATTTTACAAAATTCTAAATTTCTTGCCGTGGGTTTCACACAAAACTAGAAAAAATACAAATTTTCTTGCTGTGGTTTACACACAAAATTTGACAAAATTCAAAATTTCTTGCCGTGGTTTTCACACAAAACTAGAAAAAATACAAAATTTCTTGCTGTGGTTTACACACAAAATTTGACAAAATACAAAATTTCTTGCCGTGGTTTACACACAAAATTTTTAAAAATTCAAATTTTCTTGCTGTGGTTTTCACACAAAATTTGAAAAAATTCTAATTTTCTTGCCGTGGGTTTCAAACAAAATTTAAAAAAATATAAATTTCTTGCTGTGGTTTTCACACAAAATTTGACAAAATACTAAATTTCTTGCTGTGGTTTTCACACAAAATTTGAAAAAATTAAACATTTATTGCCGTGGTTGTCACACAATTTGACAAAATTCTAATTTTCTTGCCGTGGTTTTCACAAAAAATTAGAAAAAATAAAAATTTCTTGCTGTGGTTTTCACACAAAATTTGAAAAAATTAAACATTTATTGCCGTGGTTTTCACACAATTTGACAAAATTCAAATTTTCTTGCCGTGGTTTTCACACAAAATTAGAAAAAATAAAAATTTCTTGTTGTGGTTTTCACACAAAATTTGACAAAATTAAACATTTATTGCCGTGGTTTTCACACAATTTGACAAAATTCAAATTTTCTTGCCGTGGGTTTCACACAAAATTAGAAAAAATAAAAATTTCTTGCTGTGGTTTTCACACAAAATTTGACAAAATTCAAAATTTCTTGCCGTGGTTTTCACACAAAATTTGACAAAATGAAAATTTTCTTGCTGTGGTTTTCACACAAAATTTTAAAAAATTCTAAATTTCTTGCCGTGGGTTTCACACAAAACTAGAAAAAATACAAATTTTCTTGCTGTGGCTTACACACAAAATTTGACAAAATTCAAAATTTCTTGCCGTGGTTTACACACAATTTTTAAAAATTCAAATTTTCTTGCCGTGGTTTTCACACAAAATTAGAAAAAATAAAAATTTCTTGCTGTGGTTTTCACACAAAATTTGACAAAATTCAAAATTTCTTGCCGTGGTTTTCACACAAAATTTGACAAAATGAAAATTTTCTTGCTGTGGTTTTCACACAAAATTTTACAAAATTCTAAATTTCTTGCCGTGGGTTTCACACAAAACTAGAAAAAATACAAATTTTCTTGCTGTGGTTTACACACAAAATTTGACAAAATTCAAAATTTCTTGCCGTGGTTTACACACAAAAGTTTTAAAAATTCAAATTTTCTTGCCGTGGTTTTCACACAAAATTAGAAAAAATAAAAATTTCTTGCTGTGGTTTTCACACAAAATTTGACAAAATTCAAAATTTCTTGCCGTGGTTTTCACACAAAATTTGACAAAATGAAAATTTTCTTGCTGTGGTTTTCACACAAAATTTTACAAAATTCTAAATTTCTTGCCGTGGGTTTCACACAAAACTAGAAAAAATACAAATTTTCTTGCTGTGGTTTACACACAAAATTTGACAAAATTCAAAATTTCTTGCCGTGGTTTACACACAAAAATTTTTAAAAATTCAAATTTTCTTGCCGTGGTTTTCACACAAAATTAGAAAAAATATAAATTTCTTGCTGTGGTTTTCACACAAAATTTGACAAAATTCAAAATTTCTTGCCGTGGTTTTCACACAAAATTTGACAAAATTAAAATTTTCTTGCTGTGGTTTTCACACAAAATTTGACAAAATTCTAAATTTCTTGCCGTGGGTTTCACACAAAACTAGAATACAAATTTTCTTGCTGTGGTTTTCACACAAAATTTGACAAAATTCAAATTTTCTTGCCGTGGTTTTCACACAAAATTTTTTTAAATATTAATTTTCTTGCTGTGGTTTTCACACAAAATTTGAAAAAATTCAAATTTTCTTGCTGTGGTTTACACACAAAATTTGACAAAATTCAAAATTTCTTGCCGTGGTTTTCACACAAAACTAGAAAAAATACAAAATTTCTTGCTGTGGTTTACACACAAAATTTGACAAAATACAAAATTTCTTGCCGTGGTTTACACACAAAATTTTTAAAAATTCAAATTTTCTTGCTGTGGTTTTCACACAAAATTTTACAAAATTCTAAATTTCTTGCCGTGGGTTTCACACAAAACTAGAAAAAATACAAATTTTCTTGCTGTGGTTTACACACAAAATTTGACAAAATTCAAAATTTCTTGCCGTGGTTTACACACAAAAGTTTTAAAAATTCAAATTTTCTTGCCGTGGTTTTCACACAAAATTAGAAAAAATAAAAATTTCTTGCTGTGGTTTTCACACAAAATTTGACAAAATTCAAAATTTCTTGCCGTGGTTTTCACACAAAATTTGACAAAATGAAAATTTTCTTGCTGTGGTTTTCACACAAAATTTTACAAAATTCTAAATTTCTTGCCGTGGGTTTCACACAAAACTAGAAAAAATACAAATTTTCTTGCTGTGGTTTACACACAAAATTTGACAAAATTCAAAATTTCTTGCCGTGGTTTACACACAAAAATTTTTAAAAATTCAAATTTTCTTGCCGTGGTTTTCACACAAAATTAGAAAAAATATAAATTTCTTGCTGTGGTTTTCACACAAAATTTGACAAAATTCAAAATTTCTTGCCGTGGTTTTCACACAAAATTTGACAAAATTAAAATTTTCTTGCTGTGGTTTTCACACAAAATTTGACAAAATTCAAAATTTCTTGCCGTGGTTTTCACACAAAATTTGACAAAATAAAAATTTTCTTGCTGTGGTTTTCACACAAAATTTTACAAAATTCTAAATTTCTTGCCGTGGGTTTCACACAAAACTAGAAAAAATACAAATTTTCTTGCTGTGGTTTACACACAAAATTTGACAAAATTCAAAATTTCTTGCCGTGGTTTACACACAAAAGTTTTAAAAATTCAAATTTTCTTGCCGTGGTTTTCACACAAAATTAGAAAAAATAAAAATTTCTTGCTGTGGTTTTCACACAAAATTTGACAAAATTCAAAATTTCTTGCCGTGGGTTTCACACAAAATTTGAAAAAATTAAAAATTTCTTGTCGTGGGTTTCACACAAAATTTTACAAAATTCTAAATTTCTTGCCGTGGGTTTCACACAAAACTAGAAAAAATACAAATTTTCTTGCTGTGGTTTACACACAAAATTTGACAAAATTCAAAATTTCTTGCCGTGGTTTACACACAAAAATTTTTAAA